CCGTGAATTCTCCGGCCGAAGCTCCAAATAAACCGTCAGTGTTTGCCATCAAAGCTCCAGCTCTCCTCGTGTCTCTGAATCCTGACTCCTATTGCTTCAGAAGTTTCCCCCACAGTGGGCAAACTGAAATTGTACCAAGATTGAAAGGATGCACCAAACTCTTTGTCAATTTTATAAGCTTTTATTTACATGCAATAGTGCTCCAGCATGTGCAACCACAGAGCGGCCACACTGATAAAGGGACGTAGATTCAGGATCTCCTTCATTTCGATTGCAGACGTCTCTGGCAAAGACTAATACTTGGACCTGTGAGGAGGAATAATACTGACACACCTGTCACAGCCCTCACCTGGCCGTCATTTGGTAACCAGCTAATGAGTAAACACAGACGTGGTTGCAGTATCAAGTTCAGCTTGAAGATATTTTTCCAGAATCTCTCCCATTCAGTGATTTAAAAAAATAAATAACTATACAATATATAATCTCTTGTACACTACTGAAACAGACTTATGTTGCATACACTTGTTAATAGGTTGTTAATGATGAACAATGCATAATACATGGGTTATTGCTATAGAAACAACTAAAGAGCAATGAAGCACCTTATAATTACAGCGTGAGACTGGTTCCAATGGTCCCTTTAAAGCGAGTTATCTAAGGATGGAGGAATGGTGCGAGGAAAGGAGACATGAAGTGCTGAGCTGCGAGGAATCCTCTGCAGACTAAAGGCTGATCTTCACACAAGGAATAAAAACATATTTCCCTCCCCAGGAAACGCAGAAAGAAATCAGCAAGAGCCTTTTTTTCAATGTGAAAATAACCTTATATACAGTATAACCAGACACTATGTACAAAAGCATAAATATATAAATATCTGTGATACAAAAATAAATATTTTCTCTTGTTTTCTTCTGCTGAACAGTCTTTTTATGCATCTGTTGTGTTGGCTGTCCCTTCGCCCTCGGGGGACGCTTCATTTGGGAGGATGTTCACTTCCTGTATGTCCTGGGATTGCGGTGTCGTGGCCGCTGAAGACGGCGTGGTGAAAATCCCTTCGTCTTCCAGAGAGAGAAGAGGGAAGGAGGCTGGCTCTGCAGAAAAAAAGGGCGGGTCAGAAATATGTGATTGTAGTGTTAAAAAATGAGAATGCAAGACATTGGTTAAAAGATGTTGTTAGATCGACAAATAGAAGTCCACTCGTACTGTAATTGACGTCATCCTCTGCTTCATCTTCAACATAAAAGTCTCCATCTCCTCCCAGCTCCTGAGAACCAAGAGGCTGATGGGAAGAGTCGAGGAGCTGCAGAGTGGAGTCGTCTGCAGGACAGCAACCATGTTCATGATGGTCTGGACCTCTGAGGAACGAAAGAAATAAGGTGTTTATAGAAAGGCTAACACATAGGTTGGTATTTATTTTACTACAATAATATGATTTAACTCAGTCAACATTTTAACACAATCAAATATCATTTTATTGCACATGAACAAAGTCTTTAGATTAATTAGTCAGTGACCAAAAATGTGTATAATTCCCGTTTTTAATCAAATATTTCATAAAAGCCCACAAGCACATTTCAGTACATACTGTATATTTGAGTGTTGTATGAAAACGCACCTGTTGGAGTAGTGGTAAACAGGCAGATGTCCGTTGGACCCCATCTGTGGTAACAGCGTGTCACACTCCATGTCACAGTCCTGCAAAACACACACAAACCTATAAATGAAATATTCCACCCATAGCATTAAGAGCTCATTAACAACATACAGTTTAATGGGTTGTTTTTTGTACCTGCTGCAGGCCTGGCAGGAAGTGTGTGTTGTGGTGAAGTTTGCCGTTCCCGATGCATTCCCCGTTAGCCGGGTAGACCCCATGTGGTGCGGTCATGCGACTGTCCAGAGGGCAGTGGCCAACCAGAGCGAGGCCCTGCAGGGGAACCATGGTGTACTGACAGGACAACCCGGGGGCCGCCACCGCGGGGAAACACAGGTCCGACATTTGCTCTGAAATAAACACAAAGAAAAATAAATTACACAGATGCAGAGGCAAAAACGTGTTTAAATTACAATTATAATCTTTGATTCGTTTAGTTGTATTGTGGAGGAAGATAAAACGAAAACACATTTGGTATTCTAATAAATAAATGCATGACAAATTAGTAAGATCATTTTTCTTTTAACTTTAAAAAAAAAATTGGTTTAAAGTCCAACAATTTTCCGACGCTTAGCTAAAGAATCCATGTCTCAGCCTTACACGTTAACAATGACAGAACTAGTAAATATATAAATGACTCCAAAAAGACCTGAGAAGAGCACTCACTCTGTTTGGCCCACGCCCTCCAGAGGCAGAAGGGGATGAAGGCGACGATGATGAAGACGAAGGCTCCCAGGACTATACCGACTATGAGGTAGGGGAGGTCTCCGGGCCGAGGCACCAGGCCGCTGGGGGGACCCATCGGGTGGTCGGGGGACTCTGAGGGGGACGGGCGGTGGTGATGAGGACGAGCTGAGGGGACAAGAAGAAGATGGAGAAACGGTTGTAATTAGTTTGAAGTTAGTCGGCTTCGATATATTCAAAACAGCTACAGCGAAGTTTTGGAGACGAAAATCTTGAGTCTCAGGCTCCTCGAATAATGAAACATACAATAACAAAAGTAAAATAAACAAAATAGTGCAATAGACAAAATAGTACAAGTAATTTGCAAGATTAAGAAAAATACGTACATATTAATAGAATAAGAATGTAAAATTAAATATCGTAGAGTAGACAAATTACTGTATACTGTGTTATTACACGGCTTGGTTGAATACTTGATTGTGATTGGTCAATTTGGATATTTCAGAGGTTGTTAATAGTCGATAACACACCGTTGCTAAGATAAATAATGACCGTTGCTTGGAGGATCATAGGAGAGAAGGAAAGAGGCTTAAAAGACACAGTTGGATGTCGAATAAATCGACAGAAGAAGACAGACAGGAAGTGAACACTAACAGGAACAGGGTATGGTCTCTGGCAGTGTTTAAAGACTGGGTACAAGAGTACGGGAATGATGATACAGGAACTGATAATATATCGTGTGTTGCAGTGAAATCTCCCCCCAATAAAACAGGAAGTAAACACTAATGGGAACAGGTTTTGGGCTCTGGCAGTGTTTAACAGCACGTTAATGTTGACTCAGGAACAGATATTAGCTAGTGTGTGTTGCAGTGAAATCTCCCCCCAGTAAACCAGGACCCCACCTTTGGTCTCCAGGATCACCACGTTGCCGAACTCGCTCTCGCCCTTCTCGTTGAAGCTCTGCATCTTGATGTCGTAGGCGGTCTCCGGCTGCAGGTCGGTGACGGAGTGCCAGTATCTGTCGCCCTCCACCACGTCCTTCTTGTAGTCGCTGTCGTTGTCGCTGTCCGTCGGCCGGTAGTAGATGTAGAAACCGTAGATGGGCGTGTTGTTTACGGGAGTGTACTGTCGAGGGGGGGATAAATCATGTTGCAATCACAATGAACTGGAAATAAACGGCAATAACAAACTCTGTATATCCTGATAAATAAAAACACTGTTAAGCGTCTCCTTTTCTATAAACCACAACAATTTGCACAATTGTAATGTCTATAGGTTTCTGTAG